ATTTAGATAAGGCCCAAAGAGGTCTTTGTGGCATTTATGGATTTGGAAAAGGCGTATGACAGGGTGGATAGGTGGGCAAAGTGGCAGATGTTGCAGGTGTATGGTGTAGGAGGTTTGGTTATGAAAGCAGTGAAGGTTTTTACGAGGATAGTGAAGCTCAAGTTAGGTATGTAGGAAAGAGGGAAATTATTTCCCAGTAAAAGTAGGCCTTAGACAAGGATGTGTGATGTCACGTGGTTGTTTAATATATTTATAGATGGGGTTGTAAGAGAAGTAAATGCGAGGGTCTTGGCAAGAGGCGTGGAGTTAAAAGATAAAGAATCACACATAAAGTGGGAGTTGTCACAGTTGCTCTTTGCTGATGACACTGTGCTCTTGGGAGATTCTGAAGAGAAGTTGCAGAGATTGGTTGATGAATTTGGTAGGGTGTGCAAAAGAAGAAAATTAAAAGTGAATACAGGAAAGAGTAAGGTTATGAGGATAAAAAGATTAGGGGATGAATGATTGGATATCAGATTGGAGGGAGAGAGTTATGGAGGTAGGGTGATGTATTCAGATATTGGGAGTGGACGTGTCAGCGGATGGGTCTGTGAAAGATGAGGTGAATCATGAAATTGTTGTGGGAAAAAGGGTGAGTGGTGCACTTCGGAGTCTGTGGAGTCAAAGAACTTTGTCCCTTGGAGGCATAAGAAGGGGACATGTATGAGGAGTATAGTTTTACAATTGCTCTTATATGGGTGTGAATGCATGGTGAATGAATGTTGCAGCGGGGTGAAGGCTGGAGGCAGTGGAGATGTCATGTTCTGAGGGCAAAGTGTGGTGTGAAAATATAAGCAGAGAATTCGTTAGTTTGGAAGTTAGGAGGAGGTGCGGGATTGCCAAAACTGTTTGTCCAGAGGGCTGAGGAAAGGGTTGTTGAGTGGTTCGGACATGTAGAGAGGAAATGGAGAGAAACAGAGTGACTTCAAGAGTGTATCAGTCTGTAGTGGAAGGGAAGGCGGGGGTTAGGGTCGGCCTAGGAAAGGTTGGAGGGAGGGGGTTAAAGGAGGTTTTGTGTGCGAGGGGCTTGGACTTCCAGCAGGGCATGCCGTAGAGTGTTTGTGGAGTGAATGGAGACAAATGGTTTTTTAATACTTGACATGCTGTTGGAGTGTGAGCAAAGTAATTTATGAAGGGTTCAGGGGAAACCGACAGGCCGGGCTTGAGTCCTGAGATGGGAAGTAACAGTGCCTGCACTCTGAAGGAGGGGTGTTAATGTTGGCCAGTTTTTAAAAACTGTGTGTAAAGCTCCCTTTGGCCAAGACAGTGATGGGTGAATGATGGTCGAAAGTTTTTCTTTTTCGGGCCACCCTGCCTTGGTGGGCCACCTGCCTTGGTGGGCCACCCTGCCTTGGGTGGGCCACCTTGCTTGGTGGGCACCCTTGACTTGGTGGGCCACCCTGCCTTGGTGGGCCACCCGCCTTGGTGGGCACCTGCCTTGGTGGGCCCACCCTGCTTGGTGGGCCACCCTGCTTGGTGGGCACCCTGCCTTGGTGGGCCACACCTGCCTTGGTTGGCCACCCTGCCTTGGTGGGCACCTGCCTTGTTGGGCCCACCCATGCCTTGTGGGCACCCTGCCTTGGTGGGCCACCCTGCCTTGGGGAACCACCCCTTGGCCTTGGTGGACCACCCTGCCTTGGTGGTCCACCCTGCCTTGGTGGGCCACCCTGCTTGGTGGGCACCCTGCCTGGTGGGAACCCTGCTTGGTGGGCCTCCCTGCCTTGGTGGACCACCCTGCCTTGGTGGGGACACCCTGACCTTGGTGGGACCACCCTGCCTTGGTGGGCCACCCTGCCGTGGTGGGGCAACCCTTCCTTGGTGGGCCACCCTGCCTTGGTGGACCACCCTGCCTTGGTGGACCACCCTGCCTTGGTGGGCCACCCTGCCTTGGTGGGCCACCTGCCTTGGTGGACCACCCTGCCTTGGTGGACCACCCTGCCTTGGTGGCCACCTGCATGGTGCGGGCCACCCTGCCTTTGGTGGGCCACCCTGCCTTGGTGGGCCACCCTGCCTTGGTGGGCCACCCATGCCTGGTGGGCCACCATGCTTGTGGGCCACCCTGCCTTGGTGAGCCACCCTGCCTTGGTGGGCCACCCTGCCTTGGTGGGCCACCCTGCCTTGGTGGGCCACCCTTGCCCTTGGTGGGCCACCCCCCTGCCTTGGTGGACCACCCTGCCTTGTGTGGACCACCCTGCCTTGGTGGAACCACCCTGCCTTGGAGGGCCACCCTGCCTTGGTGGGCCACCCTGCCTTGGTGGGAACACCTGACTTGGTGGGCCACCCTGCCTTGGTGGACCACCCTGCCTTGGTGGACCAACTGCCTGGTGGACCACCTGCCTTGGTGGGCCACCCTGCCTTGGTGGGCCACCCTTGCCTTGGTGGGCCACCCTGCCTTGGTGGGACCACCCTGCCTTGGTGGCCCCCTGCCTTGGTGGGCACCCTGCCTTGGTGGGCACCCTGCCTTGGTGGACCACCTGCCTTGGTGGACCCACCCTGCTTGGATGGGCCCACCCTGCCTTGGTGGCACCTGCCTTGGTGGGCCACCCTGCCTTGGTGGGCACCCTGCCTTGGTGGGCCACCCTGCCTTGGTGAGCCACCCTGCCTTGGTGGGCCACCCGCCTTTGGTGCCACCCTGCCTTGGTGGGGGGCCACCCTTGCTTGGTGGGCCACCCTGCCTTGGTGGGCCACCCGTCCATTGGTGGGGACCACCCTGCCTTGTGGACCACCCTGCCTTGGTGGACACCCTGCTTGGTGGGCCACCCTGCCTTGGTGGGACCCACCCCTGCTTGGTAGGCACCCTGCTTGGTTGGCCACCCTGCCTGGTGGGCCACCCTGCCTTGGTGGACCACCCTGCCTTGAGTGGACACCCTGCCTTGGTGGGCCACCCTGCCTTGGTGGGCACCTGCCTTGGTAGGCCACCCTGCCTTGGTTGGGCCACCTGCCTTGGTGGACCACCCTGCCTTGGTGGACCACCCTGCCTTGGTGGACCACCCTGCCTTGGTGGGCACCCTGCCTTGGTGGGCCACCTGCTTGGTGGGACCACCCTGCCTTGGTGGGCCACCCTGCCTTGTGGACCACCCTTGCCTTGGTGCGCACCACACCCTGGCCTTGGTGGGCCACCTGCTTGAGTGGGCCACCCTTCTTGGGTGGACCACCCTGCCTTGGTGGACCACCCTGCCTTGGTGGGCCACCCTTGGCCTTGTGGCACACCCTGCCTTGGTGGGACACCTGCCTTGGTGGACCACCCTGCCTTGGTGGGCCACCCTGCCCTTGGTGGACCACCCTGCCTTGGTGGAACACCTTGCCTTGTTGGGCCACCTGCCTTTGTGGACCACCCTGCCTTGGTGGGCCACCCTGCCTTGGTGGACCACCCTGGCCTTGGTGGACCACCCTGCCTTGGTGGGCCACCTGCCTTGGTGGGCCACCCTGCCTTGGTAGGACCCACCCTGCCTTGGTGGACCACCCCTGCCTTGGTGGGCTCACCCTGCCTTTGGTTGGACCAACCTGCCTTGGTGGGCCACCCTGCCTTGGTGGACACCTGCCTTGGTGCGGCCACTGCCTGGTGGACCACCCTGCCTTGGTGACCACCCTTGCCTTGGATGGGCCACCCTGCCTTGGTGGTCCACCCTGCCTTGGTGGGCACCTGCCTTGGTGGACCACCCTGCCTTCGGTGGACCACCCTGCCTTGGTGGGCCACCATGCCTGGTGGGCCACCTGCCTTGTTGGACCACCCTTCTGGTGGGACCACCTGCCTGGTGGGCCCCCCCTGCCTTGGTGGACCACCCTGCTTGATGTGGCCACCCTGGCCTTAGTGGCCACCTGCCTTGGTGGGCCACCCTGCCTTGGTGGCCACCCTGCCTTGGTGGGCCACCCTGCCTTGGTGAGGCCACCTTGTAGCCTTGGTGGGCCACCTGACCTTGAGTGGACCACCCTGCCTTGGTGGACCACCCTGCCGTGGTGGACCACCCTGCCTTGGTGGGACACCTTGCCTTGGTGGGCCACCCTACCTTGGTGGGCCAACTCTACCTTTGGTGAGCCACCCTTACCTTGGTGGGCCAACCCCTACTTGGTGGGCACCCTACCTTTGGGGGCAACCCTTACCTTGGTGGGCCACTCTACCTTGGGGGGCATCCCTACCTTGGTGGGCCACCACTACCTTGGGGGGCCACCCTACCTTGGTGGGTCACCCTACCTTGGTGGGGGCTCACCCAACCTTTGGTGAGCCACCCCTACCGTTGGTGGGCCTCCCTACCTTGGTGGACCAACCCTGCCTTGGTGGTCCACCCTACCTGGTGGGCCTCCTACCTTGGTGGGCCACCTACCTTGGTGGGAATCGGCCAGTGTGATAATAAATAAAAAAAATCAGGAATTTCTGGTAATATGTTAAATTTGTGAGTGTATATTAAAAAATGATTATATATAAATTTCAAATTTACATAACAGAAGGAAAAATTATATCTTAATATCACTCACCAATTTTGACTGGATATTAAGTTGTTTCATGCTCATTAAACCTCACAATACTAAATTATGAAAACAACTGGCCAGAATTATAACATATCTAGAGAGGCCTTATCTGAGGTTCTGGAGGCTGTTCTTCTGTCAGTCGTCTGACATCTTAAGTTATGCAGGAGTGGCATATCTCCAAATTTCGCTCCTATTTGAGAGGTGTCAGCACAATTTTAACCTCTAGAGCACGAAAAATTCTTCCCCATTCACCAACGTTGTACACAATTCAAAACCAAGATGGCTAGTCCTTCCTGCGCAGGCGCAGCTTCCCGTTTTCGATTACATAAATTTTAAATACAGTATGGCCATCTATTTACATTTAATAACTACTGTATTTCTGGAAAATATATACAGTATTTTCCACAGGTGTGTTGTAGCCAGCTGGTATGCGTTATTGGTGTGGTGTGACCAGTTATGTTACAAGTGTGGTGTGAGCAGCTGTTGTGTTACAGGTGTTCGAGCCTGCAGTATGGTGGTGGCCAAGGTGTGGGTGCTGAAGAGGAGACCTGTGGGTGAACCAACTGTGGAAGACTTCCAGCTGGTGGATGAGGAACTGCCCCCCTGTGGAGATGGTGGTAAGTTGTGTGTTGTGTGTGTGTGTGTGTGTGTGTGTGTGTGTTACTGTATGTGCGTGTATTTGTTTGTTTGTGCGTGTATATTTGTGTATCTTTAGATAAAAATGCGTTTGTAGGTCTGTGACATCTAAATAATAATAATAATTAATAATAATACTTATTATTAATATTAATTATTAAGAAGAATAATAATTAATATTATCAATAATGATTAGAATAATGATAATAAAAGCTATTAACTCACATCTAACCTTCAATACTGACATGTTCTCTCATGTCCTCATGACCTAACAAGATTACAGTGGGTATATATACTACAACTTCTACGTATATTGTGCCTTATACCTCACTCTAATGTCTATATATACCCTCTGTGTCCATGTATTGTTTAGTAATGGCTTGACAAAGCTCCTGGAGAGCGAAACGTTGCCTCAATAAAATGTCACGTTAGATGCATCTGTGTTCATTTGTCTAGCAATAAAAACGTTGACAGTAACAGCGTCAGTAACTGTTTCAATGGTAATGATAGTCAAAATGGCCTGGGGTTACCCACAGGATGTGGCAAGACATTTATGTGAAGTTCATGACATTTATCGAAGAGAAAGTTTCGCCTGTATAGGCGAAACGTTTCAACAATAAAGATATCCGACTGTTACACATGTGTCTTAATCAACAACTGTAAATAACGTGGCTTTATTCCACAGTAAAGATAGTGTCTGTGCCATATGTTTTGAGGAGGTCAGGTGTTAGCCAGTATTAAACTAAGATTGTACACCTGTACAGATGTGTTGGTGACAGCTGTGTACCTGAGTGTGGACCCTTATATGAGGTACAGAACTCGCCAGGTACCTCTCAACACTCCCATGGTTGGCTCGCAAGTGGCCAGGTAAGTGGCGCTTCCCTGGGTAAGTGGAGCTTCCCTGGGTAAGTGGCGCTTCCCTGGGTAAGTGGCGCCTCCCTCTTATGGATTATCATTGTTTGCATAGGTCATTAAAACACCAGGTAAGTACTTATCATAAGCACCAATGTACCCAGGGGTGTAATTCAGTAGTATTTGAGGGGGGTCAGTCCCTCAGCCTGGAGGAGAGTTCAGTTCCTTGATATGGAACGATGCGAAGCTGAAGCAAGAGACTGGAGTCTTAAACACTGTCGAAGGTGAGATGGAAGTTCTGGAAAACGTTGCAGGGGATCCACTAGTGGAAGAAGGCAGGTCCCTCTGGAACCCAACTCTTCTGACACAGGTAGAAGTTACGTGGTGAAGTATGAAAGATGTCTTCTGTACCATGATACCGTTGTACTGTAGTGCTGCGTTACAGTATTTTATATCATTATCATCATAACAGTTAAGTAGTCCTCCATTCGCTAACTGGCAGCTGAGCAGACGTGGTTATCATGAAGTGTTATGCTATCTAACATATGCACTTTACCCCTGTCAATCAGGCTCACTCTTATGTTATGCTATCTTCATATCAGATATCTAGACAGCTGGAGTGTATTGCTCTGATATCCTAATATCAGCTATCTAGACAGCTGGAGTGTGTTGCTCTGATATCCTTATATCATCTATCTAGACAGCTGGAGTGGTTGCCTTTATCCTAATAAGCGTCCAAACCCAGACCCTATAACAAAAATATTTACCCAACGCATATTCAATGATACCCAACTGGTGTTCCCACTGTGTAACTATCACACAGAACAGTGTGCAACAAAAGCTGGTGTTCCCACGTGTAACTATCAAAGCGGTGTTCCGCGTGAAAACTATCAAAATAGAACAGTACAAACGCTGTGTTCCCACTGTGCAACTATACATAGAACAGTGTACAACACAATGCGGGGGTTTTTCCCACGGAAACTACCCAAAACCAGAACATGTAGAAAACATAAGCTGGTGTTCCCACTGTGTAATACACAGAGAACAGTGTACAACATAACTGGTTTTCCTACGTGTAACTTCACATGAACAGTGTAGCAACAAAAAGCGGGTTTTTCCCATGGTACTATCACACAAAACATTACAACAAATGCGGGGTTCCCACTGTGTAACTATCACACGAACAGTGTAGCAACAAAATGCGGGTGTTCCCACTGGTAACTATCACTTTAAACATGTACAACACAAGCTGGTGTTCCCACGGTAACTATACACAGAACATGTAAACATAATGCGGTGTTCCCACGGGTTAACTACACAATTCGGGTTTTTTCCCCTGTGTAAATCACATAGAACAGGAGCAACACAATGTGGTGTTCCCACTGTGCAACTATCACATAAAACAGTGTAGAACCAATTCTGGTTCCCACGTGTAACTATCACAAGAACTGTAGCAACAAAATACTGTTTTCCCCACTGTGTAATTATCACATAGAACTGTACAACAAAAATGCGGGTGTCCCACTTAACATCCAAGAACAGTGTACAACACAATGCTGGGTGTTCCCACTGTTACTTCACTAAACAGTGTAGCAACAAAATCTGGTTTTCCCACTGTGAACTATCACATAGAACATGTAGCAACACAATGCTGGGTTCCCCTGTGTAACTATCACACAGAACAGGGGTAGCAACATAATGCATGGTGTTCCACTGGTAACTATCACAATTCTGGTGTTCCCGCTGGTAACTATCACATAACAGTGTAGCAACCAATGCTGGGGGTTCCCACTGTGCAACTATCACAAGAACAGTGTACAACCAATTCTGGGTTCCCACTTTGTAACTATCACATAGAACAGTAGCAACACAATACTGGTTTTCCCACCGTGTAATTATCAATAGAACATGTAGCAACACAATGCTGGTGTTCCCACTGGTAACACCCACATAAACAGTGTGGGCCAACACAATGCTGTGTTCCCACTGTGTAACTACACTAGAACAGTTACAACACAATGCTGGTGTTTCCACTGTGTAACATCACATAAAACAGTGTACAACACAATGCTGGTGTTCCCACTGTGTAACAAATCACACAAAAACAGTGTAGCAACAAAATGCTGGTGTTCCCACTGTGTAACTAATCACACAGAACAGTGTAGAAAACATAATGCTGGTGTTCCCACTGTGTAACTATCACATAGAACGTGTGCAACACAATGCTGGTGTTCCACTGTTAACTATCACATAGAACAGCGTAGCAACACAATGCTGGTGTTCCACGTGTAACTATCACACAGAACAGTGTAGCAACATAATGCTGGTTTTTCCCACTGTGTAACTATCACACAGAACAGTGTAGCAACATAATGCTGGTGTTCCCACTGTGTAACTATCACACAGAACATGTAGCAACACAATGCTGGTTTTTCCCACTGTGTAACTATCACCAGAACAGTGTAGCAACAAATGCTGGTGTTCCCACTGTGTAACTATCACACAGAACAGTGTAGCAACATAATGCTGGTGTTCCCACTGTGTAACTATCACCAGAACAGGGGTAGCAACACAATGCTGGTGTTCCACTGGTAACAAATCACACAAAAACCAGTGTAGCAACATAATGCTGGTTTTTCCCACTGTGTAACTATCACATAGAACAGTGTACAACACAATGCTGGTTTTCCCACTGGTAACTATCACATAGAACAGTATAGCAACACAATGCTGGTGTTCCCACTGTGTAACTATCATAAGAACAGTGTAGCAACACAATGCTGGTGTTTCCCACTGTGTAACTATCACATAGAACAGTGTAGCAACACAATGCTGGGTTCCCCACTGTGTAAACTATCACACAGAACAGTGTAGCAACATAAGCGGGTTTGTTCCCACTGTGTAACATCACACAGAACAGTGTAGCAACAAAATGCTGGTGTTCCTACTGTGTAACTATCACACAGAACAATGTAGCAACAAATGCTGGTGTTCCCACTGTTTTAACTACCCACAAGAACATGTAGCAACACAATGCGGGGTTGTTCCCACTGTGCAACTACCACATAGAACAGTGTAGCAACACAATGCGGTGTTCCCACTGTGTAACTATCACAAGAACAGTGTAGCAACACAAGCTGGTGTTTCCCACTGTGTAACTATCACATAGAACAGTGTAGCAACACAATGCTGGTGTTCCCACTGTGTAACTATCACATAGAACAGTGTAGCAACACAATGCTGGTGTTCCCACTGTAAACTATCACACAGAACAGTGTAGCAACACAATGCTGGTGTTCCCACTGTGTAACTATCACAACAGAACAGTGAAAGCAACACAATGCTGGTGTTCCCACTTGTGAACTATCACACAGAACATTGTAGCAACACAATGCTGGTGTTCCCACTGTGTAACTATCACACAGAACAGGTAGCAACATAATGCTGGTGTTCCCACTGTGTAACTATCAATAAAACAGTGAGCAACACAATGCTGGTGTTCCCACTGTGTAACTATCACATAAAAACATGGTAGAAACCCACAATGCTGGTGTTCCCACGTGTAACTATCACATAAAACAGTGTACAACACAATGCTGGTTTTTCCCACTGGTATAACTATCACACAGAACAGTGTAGCAACACAATGCTGTGTTCCCACTGTGTAACTATCACACAGAACATTTAGCAACACAATGCTGGTGTCCCCACTGTGTAACTATCACATAGAACAGTGTAGCAACACAATGCTGGTGTTCCGACTGTGTAACTATCACACAGAACAGGTAGCAACATAATGCTGGTGTTCCCACTGTGTAACTATCACCAGAACAGTGTAGCAAAACATAATTCTGGGTGTTCCCAAACTGTGTAACTATCACACAGAACAGTGTAGCAACATAATGCTGGTGTTCCCACTGTGTAACTCTCACACAGAACAGTGTAGCAACATAATCCCTGGTGTTCCCACTGTGTAACTACACATAGAACAGTAAGCAACACAATGCTGGTTTCCCACGTGTAACTATCACACAAACCATTCGTCTCTCGACCTGGGGGGAGAGAGGACGCTTCAACGGGTTTCTCTTGCACGCCACCTGTGAGGGAAAAACATAGCATTACACCCAAGAGGGGCGGACCGACTGAAACCGGCGCATAAATACTGTCGGCCATTGAGCTGGTTAGAGGATCTTCAAGCAACGCCACGATGAACGTTCTCCTCCCAAGCATTATCAGGGACTGTTTATGGCATCCCCAATGAAGAGCTGAAATGGTGTGGCACTGAATGGTATGTCAAGGTCTTCGTGAAGTTCATGAGGGCTGACTTCTACTCTACCATCGTCGACGAGTTTCTAGAAAGCGGATGAGTATCAATTCGGCAGTGGAAGTATGCTTGCATGATGTGTCCAAGTTTTTTTACTTGGTTGAAGGTAAGGAATGTACCTTTTGAGGCAACAGCATACAGCCTACAAATGTTTTTCAGTGGTTATGGGACTGTACACTCGACGAGCATGGGAATGTGCAGGACGGCCCCTTATGAGGGGATCCCGGGAAGGACCCCTTCACACTGAAAATGACCCTGAGGGGGCCTATACCAACATATGTTACATTGCATAACCATAGAACACGGGTTTTGTACACTATGCGGGCAGAGGAAGACGTGCCGTTTATGTGACTCTTATGAGCACATGGTGGCACAATGCCCCGGGAGACAGGGCCCTAGGCGTCAGGAGACAGCTTCGGGTTTTGATACCCCATTAGAAGCCGGGGACGTTATGACGGGTGAAGTGGAAAGCCGAGGTACAGGCCTATGGAGTGAGGAGGTCGACAGGGCAGAGGTGTGTTACCTACACAATTGGAAACGGGGGGGGGAGGGAATATCGCTGTCAGACAAAACCGTTTAGGTACTGCAGAGTCAGCTCAGGACGGATTTTGGAGGCTGTGCTGAAGGATTTTTTGGAAGAGTCGAGCATGGTGTGGAAAGTGATGTGAGGTCGGGTGATGACAAGGTGATG